AAAACGCTCCGTCGTCGGGCTCTCCCAATTTATACTTGCGCAGGCGCCAAGCTGATCTTCTCTGTATCGCTCCTATTCTGACGGCCGTCTCGAAGGACCTAGGCCGGGGCAGTGCCCCGCGGCTTTTCGAAATCCGCGCGGCCGCAGCCCCACCCTACCCCGGCGCACGAACCTGGCCCCTCTTTCGGGGTTTATGCATGTCAACCTTGCGCAGGAGCCATGCGAATCTCCTCTGTATCGTTCCAATTTTAACAGATGTCCCAAAGGACTCCGAGCGGGGCAACGCCCCACGACGCCACCCAAAACCGTCCGACCCTTCCATGCTGGCGCTGTGCAGATCTTCTCCGTACCATCCCAACCTAACGGATGCCCCCGGAGGACTTATCTGCAATAGCGCCCCGCGACCCTTTTCCTTACCTTTCTTTTCGCACGTGCCTTCCCCGATTCACGTCCAGGTTCATCCCCGAACTTTCACAAATGATCCTTGCACCGCGGCCACGAGTATCTCCTCAGCATCATTCCAATTTTTACGGATGTCCTAAAGGACTTCCGTCGCATCAGCACCTGGCGGCCTCTCAGAGTTCGGGCGGCCTCGCTGCCACCCCACCTTACTGTCCTCGCGCGCACCTGGCCCCTTTTCGAGGCCGAGTCCAGGCGAGTGCACCTACCACATGCCTTGGACCTTCATCAATTTACGCGCGCCGTCCTTGCGCAGGGACCATACGAATCTACGCTGCATCGCTCCAATTTTAAGGGGTGTCCCGAAGGACTTGCGCGGCGCGACACCTCGACACAACTAGTGGTCACACAGCCCTCTCCCCCTTTTCCCATCTCCCGTCCGGGTTCATTCCCGGACCCCCCCTCTTACATCACCCTGTCTTCCCAACGGCCGCGTCAGCAAGTTGGCCGGTTTTTGAAAAAAAAGGAACAAGAATAAATCTAGGACAAAACCCCCGACGGAAGAAGAAAAAGGGGCATCGTTGCACATAGGGGACAGGCCGCGGGCCCTACCAGAGCCCCCTTAACCCTGCGGCGCGGACCCGCGATCAGGACTTCCTCAACAACCCAAAAGGGGGATAGTCCCGCGGGACCCTCGACCCCTCCGCCTCTCGCTGCTCCATTGCTCCCGCGCCGTCGTCCGCTGGCCTCGAGCCCTGAACCTCCATCTCACGAACCCGATACTGTAACCAATAGGGCTAAGCCCAAGCCTGAAACTAACTCGCGTGAATTTCACTATAGGTGGTGCGGCCTACCGCTAAGGGCTGGGAAAACAGCCCAAACCTCTCCTTCTTTTTCAACCGCGCACGCGCGGCCGCCGAGTGTCCACGCCGCCTTGTACGTGTCGCGTCGCGGCCACCATCCATACCTTCCCACGCGCCGGACCTACCGCCGACCGAACGCAATAAGTAAGACGGCAGATCTTTTAACCCTTAATCAATAAACAAAAAAACAAGCCGGGTAATTATACCGGCGTCGCAATTAATTCTAAACGGGAAAATCACACGCGCGCCTTAAAACTGCGCGCCCACTCACCCTTCCTACTCAGACAACCCTTAGCCTGCGCGCGGACGACCCCCGCGTTTCCCGCGTAGGCACTCAAGGATCCAGGTTAACCAAGCCTTCCTGTCACTTGCAAAAACCAGGGCGGATACCCTTGTAAGGGTATTCGCGCCGACAACGCCCGACCCATTTTGAACATCCATAATATTTGTCAGCCGCAGCCAGCCATGACTGCGGTTCAAAAAATCCTCACAACCTGGCCCAGCTGTAGCTGAGCCCAATTTGAGCGTACAAACCCGGTCCGCCCGAGCCCAGACCTTGAAGAAGAATTGCGGCCATCCGGACCTGCCCAGACCCATACATATTTTTCACCACCTGCCCCCACCCAGGCCCTTGAGCACAATAATCCCATTCGTACCCAGGCCCTTGAGCTGGCATTTTCTTCACAACCCTCACCCGCCCGTACCCCTGCCCATACCACCCCTCCCCCCCCCATTGCTTTGCCAAGTTTTCAACACCCTACCTATACCCATACTCAGCCTGACCCTTCCCACCTACCCAGTCGGTGGCCCCGACAACATAGAACCCTTGATCAACCATTGGAACTCAAGGACGACTAGGTACATAGTACATAGATGAACGACAAGTTGCAAGACAACTGCACATGCCACATATGAGTGGGAGAAAAACAGTCATGAGACAAAATTCAAAGCATATCTATCAAGGTCACGCCTCCGGCAAACTGGAGGTCTGTTAAAGAAAAAGAAAAAAAATTCATAAAACATAGGGGCCGGTACCCCTAAAAAGACATGTGCATGGGTGTAGACCCCCACCTGCAAGCATGCATTATATCTTTTTGGCGGGTGACACGTGCCAAGTCTAGAGCCAGCCGCCCACACCTGGCCATTTTTTTTTCGTTTACACAAGGCCACCCAAAGGCACCCACAACTGCCCCCTTTTTTTTTTCACCCCACAATTGTCCCCATCCCGGCCCAGGGCCATCCTCCCATCACCTGGCCACACCTGGCCAGGTGGGACATGGGCTAGACCGACGTGCCTACAGCTGTCGGGTTCGGCCGGGGGCAGCTGGGCGCGGCTACGGCCAGCCATTTGCAGGCTCTGCTGGTTGGTTGCCCACTATATCTCGGAGGAGAGATCCGGGCTGATCCTCATTTGCGGTGTGCAAGTTCGGGCGTCGCGCTGCTGGAGCGCTACCTTCTTCACCCGAATAGAACGCCCGGTCATCATCGCTGCATCTGGACTGAAAAATGCACCAAACACAGCTATAATGACCGGGCGTTATATTCCGGTGAAGACGGTAGGCGGAGGAGTGCTGGTGTCAAACAACACTGGGGGAAGGAGGAAGAGGAGAGCTACTGGGTGCTCAGCCTGGCTATGGCGAGCAGCCCAGCTAGGAGGAGGAGATAGAAGGAAGAGGGAGGAGAGTGGCAGGGGTACTTACCTGGCTATGGTAGACGTCATCTTCGTTTTCTTCGAAGGTGCTGCACCTAGAAGGCGCCAGTAGGGGTTGCGCTGCATCAAGAAGGCTTCAGGACAGAGTCAGGCATGGCGGCCTGAGGTGTAGAGGACATAGCTGCTTTTGCATTGTCTTTTGAACGTTGGGGCAGGCCCCCTAGTAGTCCGCCATAGCCATCACCTACCGGAGGAGGAAGGAGACGGTCATGGCTATGGTGGACCTCGTATTGTGCTGGCAGTAAGAGGGAGACTCGGATTGGTTCCGGCTCAGCCATTCATTGTTACTATCATCTTTTGTTATTACAGAATAAGCTTGGGGGAAATAAGGAGGAAGAGGAGGAGGAGTGGCAAGAGAAGGGGGATTTGTCCTTGCTCTACTGCTGGTGTACATCTTCTTCTTCTTCTTCTTCTTCTTCTTCTTCCTTGGTCTCTCTTTCTCCTTTCAGGTTCTTTCATTTCTTTTGCAATTGAACAGCATTGTCTTTTCTTGTGTGTTTGCACTTCGGATCAGCCACGATCATAACACTGCACATACACACACACAAAATAAAAACAAAAAAAACAAAAAAAACAAGACAACCGGAAAACCACTGTGTGGGAATATGAGTCTTATACATATGCAAGAAAATGAGAAAATGTGCATGTGCGCATGACAATACAATTGAATAAACCAAATTGCAGAATTCCAAAGACGTCCAGATACAGATAACTTGCGCAGAGATGGAAGCAGAACGCAAACGAGAGCACGCCAACTCAGCAAGGAGCAAACCACTCACGTAACATGATAGTGAACCCCCCCCGCCCCTCCTCCTCCTCCTCCACTCATCAATATCAACAGTGTAGCCCTTCTGACTTGGCGATCAGCACCCAGACTACCCATATCCTACTCCTATGACGAGTTGCGCCTTATTCTACAACAGGTCAGTCCTGAAGATCATCAGCCCTTTGACAACAAGAAGACTCCGAGTGGAAGGGCCAGCTCCTGCTGCCAGATGAGTGGTCTCCGCACACACGTCCCTCCCCTCTGCTTCCCTCTGCCACAGTCCCATGCCCTAGGACCTCTGCTTCCGTCCTTTGGCAAGGTGCCAATGTAATGTGGCTATGGCTGCCTGGCGCTGCCTTGCTGCTACCTCGCAGCTTTTTCTGCCTCGCACGCTCCCCCTGCGCAGTTTTTTTCTTTTTGCGGATTCTTACACATTATTTTGTTTTTTTGTTCACGAATTTTTTTTTGCCGATTCTTTAATCAATAGTAGTATCGTTACTATCGTACACATTACTTTCTTTTTTTTTTCTTTTTTTTCCTTTTTTTCCTTTTTTGCACTGGGGTTGTCTGGGACCTCGTCCGCAGCTTCACCCAGACCTTGCCCAGCTGAGCCACCCATGCAGTCCGGCTGGTAAGGGGGGGGCAGGGCCAGGGGGGGAGGGGCAAAGGTAGGGTGCACGCACACACAAAGCGACATGCACGTAGTAATCTTTCATAGACAAAACAGCAAAAAGACCCGCAGAGCGCACCACCTTCGTTCCATTCCGTCAATCCCTATGAACCGCCTAATTAGGAAATAGTAACATCATGTACATCTTATGGTTGTCATCCCATCACGCACCACCTTCGTTCCGTTCCGTCAACCCCTATGAGCTGCCGCCAATCATTCCAGCAAAATCAAGGTGGCGGTCCCGCCAGCTAACAAGCGCTAGCTCGGGGAGACTGCCAGGCAGGTCTGTCTGCTGAGTGAGACGAGTAGAAAATATGAAACGCTAGATATATAGTATATATTGTCACAAACAGATAGTATATATAGTATATACCAATTGAATTCCACCCATGCAGTTGGCTGGTAGCCTAGAAGGTCCGTTTCTTGATTTATTTATTATGTCATGATGTCCTCACAACGCCTGCAAGGTCCCTTTTTTTTTTTTTTTTTTTGGAGGATTACAATTATCTGTATCATGTCTATCTTCATTTAAAGTTTGAACTCAAAAAAAAAAAAAAAAAAAAAACTGGAAGGGCTCATGGTATTTCATACCGACTCATACTGCGCCATTCCTCGATCCCTTCGGGTAGGTTCTGGAGAAAGTTCTGGAGAAGGTTCGGGAGAAGGTTCAGCGAACGTTTCTTTCTCCTGCACATATTCCATAGAAGACCAAGTGCAGAGCATATGAAATCGATAATTATTAATTAATCATTTAGAATTTAAAATTTAAACTGTTCAAATTATGAATTGATTACAGCCGAGCGTAGCACAGCTAGATGAGGGCCATGACTCTCTCTCTCTCTCTCTCTCTCTCTCTCTCTCTCTCTCTCTCTCTCTCTCTCTTGCTAGGTCAGTAGGAGAATTCGTTGGAGAAGGATTTCAACACAAACCTGAGGAGCAACACGAGGGCTATCCTTCAGCAAGTCGACTGACAGCATTGTGCTTGTGGGCTCCTCTGCAGCCTGGAAAAAAAAAATGATAAAGAAGTTAAAAAAAAAAAAACAGCAACAAAAGACAACAAGCAGGCGTTAAGCAGCTCAGAACTATATAAAAATTGAAAAAAAAAAAAAAAAAAAAAAAAACATTAGAAAAAAATCAATAACAAAGATTGGGACCAAGAGGCATCCTCGCCGGCATAGGAGCATACTTGCACAGTGCGCACTGACTTTCCTGGCCGTATCTGACTGGCAATGCGGCCACATCCAGTCAGTCGAGTATCATACGTGCGGTGCGGCTATGCAGTTGCAGTATCATGATTGAGGTACCATTGCAATGAACCTGGCTCAAATCCAGCACAAAAACATGCACCTGAAGTCTGACCGTCAGAGTCATGTGTGGGTACGTGAAATACGTCTACAGGATCCAAGCATCCGTCAGTAGGGCCGTCAGTTCACAAAAAAAGAAAAAAAGAAAAAAAGAAGAAGGCCGTCCGTTCGACACAATATGGTCTAGTCCATGTCTGGGTCAACGACCTTTAAGGATGCAGCCCTTTGACCAACACACCGACCCTTTGACTTTTCCCTTGGTCAAAAGCTACAACCCTGCATCCGTCTCTCCATAGTTCCCTGCAAAGTCGTAGCTTTTGACCAAGCCAAAAGTCAAAGGGTGGCAGCTTTTGACCAAGCCAAAGTCAAAGGGTCATAGCTTTTGACCAAGGCAAAAGCCAAACGGTCATATCTTTCAAGTTTTAAGCAAGCCAAAAGTCAAAAGGTCATATCTTTTAAGTTTAACGAAGCCAAAAGTCAAACGGTCGTAGCTTTTGACCAAACCAAAAGTCAAAGGGTCGTAGCTTTTGACCAAGCCAAAAGTCAAACGGTCATATCTTTTAAGTTTTAACGAAGCCAAAAGTGAAACGGTCATATCTTTTAAGTTTTAACCAAGCCAAAAGTCAAACGGACATATCTTTTAAGTTTTAACCAAACCAAAAGTCAAACGGTCGTAGCTTTTGACCAAGCCAAAAGTCAAAGGGTCCTAGCTTTCGACCAAGCCAAAAGTGAAACGGTCATATCTGTCAAGTTTTAACCAAGCCAAAAGTCAAACGGTCATATCTTTTAAGTTTTAACCAAGCCAAAAGTCAAACGGTCATATCTTTTAACCAAGCCAAACTTCAAACAGTCGTATCTTTTGACCAAGCCAAAGTCAAAGGGTCGTAGCTTTTGACCAAGCCGAAAGTCAAACGGTCATATTTTTTAAGTTTTAACCAAGCCAAAAGTCAAACAGTTGTAGCCTTTGACCAAGCCAAAAGTCAAAGCGCCCTTGTCTTGGTCAACAGAGTGCATTTGCTGACCTCAAGTCGACTTCAACAAAAAAAAGAAAGAAAAAAGAAGTGCATCGCCAAAGCCAATGGTTCCATGTCTAGGTGTGTCTCTCTGTACCCGCCTACAGAGTCCAAGGAGGGGCCACAGAGAGAGTATTGCAAAAGTCAACGGGTCGCAGCTTTTGCGAGGAATGAGCCCTTGCGCCGCTCGCGGGGGCCTTATCGGACATGCACATGACCTGGAATGTGGCCCCCCCAAGCAAGCCCCCTGTGCCCGCCCTAAGTGAAGGCAAGCCCGAATATTCACAACAAGAGGCCTAAATTTGACATTTTTCCATATGTGGGTACTCAGACAGTTGCAGCACGCCGCCAGCTGGTGACAAGGAGACGTGAGCCTCCAGGTTCTTTTCCGGAAACACGGGCAGCGCTGCACAGTTGAGCGCAGGGCCAGGTGGTTGCGCCCTGGGCACACACATTGTGAGGCTGACACATCAAAACGCAGTGGCCGCGGACGAATGAGAAAGCAGGATTGTCGTCGCACAACTGCCGCAAGTCGATGAGAATGGGGCAAACACTTGTGCCTGCACGTCGGCCGGGAGGGAGCCTAACGGAAAAAGGGCCCAGGCCCATAACTGTAGAAGTGAGCCTGGGCGCAGACACTGGGGCCCGACTGGAAGCTACTGGAAACTTCCTCAGCCAGGCCCACGCAGACAAAAGGAAGGCTGCACTTTCCGTGAAGGAAAGTGCCCTGGCCTGAGGAAGGCATTCGGGCCTTAGCAGGCAATGTGTGTCCACGCTGTTGCACTAGTGACTGCGTTAGCTGGCTGGCCGAGCGCGCGCACGGGCGCTGAGGTGAGGGGCGCTGCAAGGGCAGTGGGGCGCACAACAGTGTGAAGGGTCCGAGCCATAGATCGGAGCTCTTTTTCTTATAAAAAAAAAGGAAAAAAAAAGGGGTGATTTTTTTCAGTCCCAGTGGGTGGTGAAAATTCGGTCACAGAATCCGAAGAGTCTCGAGTAAGTCTTTTGGTTGGCAGGCCTCCAGAAGTCAACGCAGGCCAGGGGAATATCAACAGTAAGCACACGAAAAAAAAAGGGGGGGGGGCGGGAGGGAAGATTGGGAAAAGAAAAGAAAAAAACATTGGAACACTGCCGTAAAAAACTCACAAAAAATGAGACCGTAATTCATCCACAGCAGCGAAAACACAAAATAGAACAAGCAGTCCTTCTCCGGGACACCCATTAAAATTGGAACGACACAGAGAGAAGATTAGACATAAACATGGCCCCTGCACGAGGATGACACGCATAAAGCGAGAAATGTTCCAAATTATAAAACAAAAAGAAATGCAAGGAATATGAGTGTGAACGATATACAGAAGACCAAGTTGCAAAATCACACAGATGTCCAGGTAGTCGTGTCCAAGCAGAGGGTACAAATGCACCGAGAAAACCATCCATATAGAGCAATACAATGAAGTAATGAGTCAATATCCAAGCCCGTCGGCCACACCAACACAGTATCCAAAGTCGCTCCTCTCTGTCTGGCACCCAGCGCCCAACCACTGCCCGACTATCCTACCTACAGCTGGTTCACAGAACAGGCTCACTTCGACTCTCGAAAACCAATGTACATGACTGTCAACCCCATAGCCGACCTCTCTTCATGCACCAGGTACGTATCTCGTCACCCTCAATCAGACCTTGATTACTCCACACAGCGCCTCCTTCCCTGAAGACCACCAGATCACCCGCTGTACCCCCTGGCGCCCAGCAGCCCGGCTATGGCCGCCTGCGCCCCGCTGCCCTGCAGCACCCCTCTTCACCTCTACCCGGCCGGTCAGCGCCTTTGGCAGCATCAAGCGAGAGCGCAGCAGCACTTCCGCATTGCCAGCACCGGCCAGAATGCCTGGCCTGGGCTGCCTCACTCCTTTTGTGGAAGTGGCAGCCTCCTGGATCCTGCGTGTGGCCTCGCTGGAAGCTTCCAGTAGCTTCCGCTTGGGTCTCAGACCCTGCGCCCAGGCCCGAGACTACAGTTGACGGCCTGGGCCCTTTGCAGTTAGGCACGGCCTGAGTCTCCAGACTTCGGCTGTTTGCTGCATCTGTGCAGGGCTCCCAGGCAGGTGCGTCGGCACTACTGCTTTTGCAAAGGCCGATGGCCTGCTTCCCAATGTATCAGCCCTTCTTTGTGTATGTGTGCCCAGGCGCAACTTTCAAGGCCTGGGCCAACTGTATGACGCAGCAATGCGCTCACGCGTCTACCCAACCAACTGGCGTGCTGCGAGAGCCTGAATACCCACATATGGAAATGTCGAATTTTGCCTTTGACGAATATTCAGGCCCGCCTTCACTTAGGGCGGGCACTTGGCTTGCTGGGGGCCTTTGCCCAGAACAATGTGATGTCTGATTGGGCCCCTTGAGGGCTTGTTCCTCACAAAAAATAAAAAAAGACACAAAATAGAACAAGCATATGAGAGCAACGTACAAAACATAGACTAGCAAGAGGATGAGATAGATGCATACTACCAAGAAAGATGACATAGATGAGAGAAGAATATAGCTTACCTTTCAAAAAAAAAAAAGAAGCAGGTTGACACACATCAAGAGATCACACCAAGCGAGAAAAGAAATGTGCTCTCGTATCGTTCCGGTTCTGTAGTGTAACAGGGTGCGCTTGTAGAGCCATCGCGATCATTTTTCCTTCTCTCGGAAAGACCTGTGCGGGTGGGCGGGATTTTGATCTTGCAGCGATGTTGAACAGAGGGCGCGGAGGGTCGGGGGTTGGGGGGTGGGGGGAGGGGGAAAGAACAAAAATGTGCTAAAGTTTCTCGAAAATGAAAGCCCAGCGTCCCGCCTCCAAAAACATCAAAACAACAACAGCTCTGATAGAGGGGTCTTACGCTGCAATACCCCTCTATACTACTTCGCTACTCACTCCGTACCCTTTCGCGCTCTCTTGTGTGCTCATGCTCATCACCCACCATCAGGTAACTTAAAGGCCCGCTTCTCATTGCTGTCCTCTCTTCCCATTGTCCTGCCAAGCACTAGCGCCGCATATTGAACCAGCAGGTCTAGCTATGGCTGCCATCACCCGGGCCGCTCTACTGCACCAACCCCTTCTCCTTCGTTGTCGTCAACCGCTCTCTCCTGCCTCTTGAGGCTGCACTAATTTTAACGCTGCGCGGCCAGCGACTTGTGCGTCCTCCCAAACACCAGTGCCTCGTATTGAACCACCACGGGCAGTTATGGCTGCCGCAGGCTGGTCCGCTCTACCGCACGTCGACCCCTTCTCTGCAGGCTGGGCTGCTCTACTGCACCGACCCCTTCTCCGCAGGCTGGGCCTCTCTACCGCACCACTGACCCCTTCTCCGCACGCTGGGCCTCCCTACCACACCGACCCCTTCTCCGCAGGCCAGGCCGCTCTACCGCACCACCGACCTCTTCTCCTCAGGCTGGGCTGCTCTACCGCACCACCGACCTCTTCTCCTTCTTTGTCGTCCACCGCTCTCTCCTGCCTCTTGAGGCTGCACTCATTTTAGCGCTGCTTGGCCAGCAACCTGTGCACCACAGTTTTGTCCCCCGCAGCCACGTGCAGAGTTTTTTGTGAACGGACACAGGCTGCACTTGCCTCATCAGGCTCCACCTCCTTGCTGAGAAGCCTCCGGCAAGTTGTTTATGGACAACTGGGTACGTGATTTTGGACTACCAAAGTCAATCGTTAGTGACAGAGATGTCCGATTCACAAGTGAGCTGTGGAAGAAGACTGCTGAGCAGATGGGCAGTCAACTTCAGATGACTTCAGGGAATCATCCCGAAGCCAACGGACAGGCCGAGCAGATGAACAGAGTTGTACAACACCTGCTGAGGCATTACATCAAGCCCAACCAGGATGACCGGGACGAGAAGTTGCCTCTCATCGCCAGCCTGTACAACAACGCTGTA